AGAGGTTAATGCTTTACATAAAAATGGTACATGGGAACTTGTAGATCTTCCTGAGGGGAAGGAACCAGTTGGGTGTAAATGGGTTTTCATAGCAAAACATAGGGTTGACGGCACAATGGAGCGGTATAAAGCTCGTCTAGTAGCAAAGGGGTTTACACAAGCATATGGAGTGGATTATGCAGAAACTTTTGCACCCGTTGCTAAGATGAACTCCATTAGAGTTCTTTTCTCCTTAGCTGTCAATCTTGACTGGGAACTTCATCAACTCAACATCAAGAATGCATTCTTAAATGGTAACCTTGAAGAGGAAGTATACATGGTGCAACCCCCTGGTTTTTGGGCTCAAGGTAATGAACAGAAAGTGTGCAAGTTAAAAAAAAATCATTATATGGCCTGAAACAATCATTGAGAGCCTGGTTTAGTAGGTTCCATGTAGCAGTTCAGCAAAGAGGATACAAGCAGTGTCAATCTGATCACACATTGTTTGTGAAAAGTGGGGAATGAAAGATTGCAGCACTGATAGTATATGTTGATGATATAGTTATCACTGGTGATTGGAATGATGAAATTCAAAAGTTGAAGAGTTTCCTTGCTACCCAGTTTGAAGTGAAGGATCTAGGTCCTCTAAGGTACTTCCTTGGGATTGAAGTGGCCTTCTCACAAAAGGGTATCTTCATTTCCCAAAGAAAGTATGTCCTATATCTACTCCAGGACACAAGAAAATTGGGAGTGAAGCCTGTTGATTCCCCTATTGACCCTAACCACAAATTAGGAGACTGTCAAGGTGAACCCATTGAGGATGTGAAATAGTTTCAGAGACTTGTAGGAAGACTGCTATATTTTTCTATGACTCGACCAGACATTGCTTATGCAATCGGTGTTCTTAGCCAGCTCATGCATACCCCTAAGACTACTCACCTTGAAGCAACAGAAAGAGTTCTCAGATATCTTAAGAAGTTCCTAGGTGTAAGCTTGTTGTTTCAAAAGCACAGGCATTTGAAAGTTGAAGTGTACACCAATTTTAATTGGGCAAGATCCTTGAATGACCAGAAGTCAACAAGTGGCTATTGTACCTTTATAGGAGGGAACCTAATTACTTAGAGAAGCAAAAAGCAGAATGTGGTAGATAGGTCTAGTGCTAAAGCTAAATATCGGGCAATTTCTCATGGAGTGGCAGAAATTATGTGGTTAAAGAATTTGTTGAGTGAGTTGGTCTTTCTAGTTGATGGACCTATGACTCTTTACTGTGATAGCAAAGCAGCCATAAACATCGTTGTTAATCCTATGCTGCATGATAGAACTAAGCACATCGAAATTGGCAAACATTTCATCAGAGAAAAGGTTGTCACAAGGAAGTGTGTACTCCCTATGTCAGTTCTAAAGACCAACTTGCAAACATCTTCACAAAAGGGTTACATCACTTGCGACATTATTACCTATGGGTACTTTGGTACTTTCAGCCTGAGGGGGAGTGTTGAAATGTTGTTATTGTGTATGTTTAGTACTGCAGGGTACTTTGGTACTTTCAGCCTTTTTAATTTTAAGTTGTGTCACCCTAGTATAAATAATAAAAAGCTAGCACCGCCAGCACCTTTTGTGACTCCAAATCTCTGTCTCTCTTCTCTCTTCCTTTCTTCCTTCTTCTCCTTTGGATAATAGAGGGTAATTTTAGTCCAAAAAAGGTTTCTCATTGCATTCATAGTGTGCACGTGCTTTGCATGGCAATTCTACATGATGACAATGATACGAATAATCTATCCAAAATCTTCTATAAAATTCAGGTATTTTTTAAATTTATTTTTTTTTGTTTTTCACTATTAATCAGATGCAGATTGCAAAATCTGAATCTCATATGTAAACACCTCTTATTGGGCTACAAAGTTTTGGGTGTTATTGGTAGGCTTACCTATTTGGCTGGACTCTTCTTTTTTTAATGTTTTATCTTCATAGTGTATATTTTTGTTCATTTATCAAAAAATGTAAGATTTAAAGAGGAGGAATTGAATGAGGTGAAAATTGTTGTTCAAACTACATTTTAAACCTCACAATTAAATAAGCATTAAATTCAAAAAATGGGTATTTCAATCAAAACAAAGTTGTAAAATTTTATTCATATTTTTAATAGTAGTGTAAATATCGAGTTATAGATGTGTTCAATTTTTCTATATTTTTTTATTTATATGTGTGTAAAAATAATATTATTATTTACACTTGTTTTTTGCTAATATGTTAAATATATGATATTATACATGTATAAATATGTTTTATTTGTAAAATTTATTCATTTTTTTGTGTAATTCTAGATGAAAAATAACTTTGTGCGCACGTGGTGAAAAAATAGTATAGATACATAGATCTAATTAGTACCATTTATCGGCTATACTATTATTTTGTGTAATATTATATAGGTTTTAATATATATGGGATTATATTGTTAAAAATATAGACATAGATCTAATTAGTACCATTTATTGGTGAAAAATAACTTAAATGGGAGTTAATACCTTTAAGTATAATATTTCATGAAAGGGTTAAATGAGGTGGAAAGTAATAATTAAAGTTACATTTTCAACTCTTACAATTAGAGGTGTAATAAATAAACAAATATTGGCACGCCATTAGCTCCCATTGGCCGCACAAAACCCATGAAAACCACCCCTAAATCAAAGAAAGAATTTCACCAAACAGGAAAACTTGACTGAACATCCATTTCTTTGAAAGAATCTTGCCTATTTCAGTGAAATAACTCTGCTCAATCACAAGCACTGTAGCTAAGCGAATTTCAGACCCCCCCCCCTCCATTTTCTCTATAAATAGAAGTCCAGCTCGAGCTTGAGAAGGACTTGAGGAGAGACCTAAGGGGGACCGGATGAAGAAGAAGGACCTAAAAGAGATAAACCTGAGAGAGGTTCCTAAAATAAAAAAGAAACCAAGGAGGAAGAGAGATTTGCCAACTTCTGTGATACATCCATTATGCTCGTAATCCCAAAGTCCTTGAAGCTTATCCTCCAAACTCAACTCAGTCTAGCTCCTACCTCACTCAAGTTCCATTTGAAGATCTCTTAGCTGTTGGAAAACTCCCATCAAGGCACATGCCAAAAGGTAAGTTTTTTAGTTTTATAGGTTGCTTGAAGTTCTAAAATGTCAAAGAACCATCAATTTCAATTTCTTCTTGACTGAGAATATAGGCAGAGAGGCGAGGGCCTTAGGGAAATCAGTACTTAGACCCGATAACATCACCTCAAAATCGGTCGTAAGAGAATCTGAAAGCATGTTTCTTCGGATTTGATAAATTCTTGTAGCCGTCTCTGTTTTTCCCAAAAGAAAACTAAGCCTGAACAACTCCCGTATTGGGCTACTACAACTGCTTGAAGAGAGGGGTGCTAATGCCTTCCCTCTCCCAATTCTTGGAACCCGAAATCTCCCGGTTGTGTGCCTTTCCTATGGAAGATGGAGTCACTATCGAGGACTTAAATCGAGCTTTTCTAACCTGAAATGAGGGTCCATTTCCTCTAAATAATGGGTGCCGACTCCAAATCTTTTGAGCCGGCCATGAGCTTCCCAGAGTTTACAGATGGTTAAATTGCTTAGCCACCATTTGAATTAAAAATAATTTTGTTTATGAGTCAATTTTAAAATAGATGGGTTTATATTGTTAAAAATATTGACACAGATGTAATTTAATAAGAGAAAATGGAATTTAATAATTTAAGTATAAGAATTAATAAGAGGGGATTAAATGAGGTGGAAAGTAATAATTGAGGTTATATTTTGAACCCTTACCATTAAAGATGGACTAAATACACAATTATGGGCATTTTATTTGCCATTAAAGTTAGCATTAAAGCTATAATAAAATGACTTTTATATGCTTATTTTAGAATAAACATAGAAAAAGCACCTCCCCAAACACTTATTCAAATAAGCGTTTACCTCCCAATACGCTATGATTGGAAATGCATCATGCCAGTTCTTCGTATTGGGTCGATACGGGCATGTATCGGTACGGATCGATACACGCTACGCATGACACACAAACACGCATATGCGTGCTCTTCTATTGGAAAAAAAAACAGTTGCAAGAATTCAAACCTACATCAAGAAGCAAAAAAGAACCTAATGTCCACGCCTGTAAGCTACTACGCCATTCTATTCTTTGTGGTCATAAATAAAAGAATAAAAATTGTATTTTTCTTTATTACTTAAATGCAATTCAAATAAATAATATATATTACGGTTAGCTTTAACTAAAAATTAAAAAAGTAATATTTAAAATCATTATTTTATAAAATAATAGAAATAAATAATATATTAAATCCACATTTATATCAAATATTATTTGAAACTCGAAAAAATTATAAAAATATAATATTAATAAGGGAATAATTATTTTAGTACTTAAAATTTATAAATTTGCACATGATATTTACATTACATAAAATCATATTCATTATTTAGAAAATAAAACCATTGTTTACAAAATATTCCAGAATATAAACTTAAATTGAATCTATCAAATCTACTAATCTACATTTATACTAGAAAAAGATTTTTAATTAGAAAAATATAGGAATAAAAATATAATTAATAATGGAATAATCATTTTAAAAGTTAAAAATTATGAATTTGCATATGATATGCATCTTAGAAATTTTAATAGATTTGATATATTTTAAGTTGAGATTATACATTTTATAAATTATTAATGGATAAAAAAAATAAAAAAAAGTCAAAATTGAACACTGGCCCGTTCTGACAAAAAAAATAAAAAAAATTGAAAAAAGTCAAAATTGTTCGAACGGTTAACTGGCCGGTTCAACGGTTTTGAGGGAAATGGGAAAATGGAACCGGTCAGATGAGGTGACCGGTCCCAGTTTTTCCGGTCCGGTCCGGTTTTGAAAAGTTAATAGTATTTGTATGATCTATGATGATGGTTCAAATTTTGGGCCTGACCCACGCTTTAGGCTGGAGGGCTCATACGGCCCAAGATGGCCCGTCTTTTTTCTTAGCGTCTTCTGGCCTCATGCACTCCTGGCCCTGGGTAGTGAACGTTGTTCATCTGGTACTTATCTACTGGACTGTTGGATAGCGCCGTTGCCCGTTGGTGTCTTCGAGGTCGAAAATGGCGGGAACTCTTCAAACCCTAGCCTTCAGACCTCCGGTGGTGGGTATTACAGTTCCCCGGCTTCGTAATCCATTTCTTTCAGTAATTCACATCCATATGCACGGTTACTCTGTTACTTCTAGCCCCAATTTGTTACTTCGTCGGAATTTCCCCTCGACTTCACGGACTATCAGAGCCAGTGAAAGATCTGATCAGGTATATAGAATTGATCTCTATGTCTTTCTGAGATGTGGGTTTAACTATCTTCTAATTGTACTTTTCTCTAATTCGCTATTTTTATGCGTTTTCTTCTTCAGTGCTGTTTTCAAGATCCCGTCGTAGAATTGCATCTATGACAGTAGATTTTTCACTTTTCTTTTCCAAAATCTAAATGGTTAAGTTTTCCGTGTCTCAGTATCATGTAAACGCTTGAAAAGGGTGTATTGTTGAATGGAATACTGGTTGTATCTCAGGTAAATGGAAATGGAAATCTACATGCTAGGATTCCGGATTCAGTACTTCTGCTAACTTGGGTGAAACCAATACTGAGTTTTGTTGGATCAAACTTCCTTCCATTAGGTAATCATTTTCCTTGAATTGGGTAATTGATAATTTTTTTCTTATTATAACTATTTCTCTTTTTATTTGCCTTATTATTCACAAATATTCCTTGGGAGTAACATGCCAGTATTTGTAACATCTCACCATCAACTTCATTTTGTAGTTGTGGTTTCACCGTGTTTCCATTTAGTTTGTTCTTTATTTATTTCATATTATTATATAGTGTGAGGTCTGTATCTGGCACACCCTCGGAAGACCTTGGACAGCCTGGACCAGCACTGGATAATGACCCATTTCATAGTATGAGATGGTTTTCCTTGGCCCTTGTACACTGTATTAAGTAGGACAGCTAGTTGGGTTGCCCGACTTGAAGAATTTCAACTAGATCAGGCTTAGGTTAGGATTTGGAATCAAATTCCCAACACAACCCAACCTAACCCAAGGTGCACCCCTAGTATTAAGTATAAGCAACATGAGATAGGTAGATTTAATTTTAACTGTTGTAGTTATGTAACGATGGCACCTCAAGGTTGAAAATTGATGCTAATTTATCCAACTTGTTCAAAATGTCTTACACGTGATTTCAGCCAAGAATATTTGATTAAAACTAAAAATAAGTGAAGAAAAGTAGCAGGACCAGAAGTAGAAGACATAAAGGAAGAAAGAAGAAGAAGAAGAAGACAAGAGAGAACTGGGAGAAACTGTCAAATTGTAGAAGACTGGAATGACCTATTTCTTTTGAAGTTGCTCAACTATTGAGGATCACAATTACAAATCTGCCCCGTTCAAGTGGCAGTAAAATAGAAGGAAAAATAAGGCCCAGATCAGGCCCATAACCCACTAACATAACAATAGAACTAAAGCCTAACATGAACAACTCAACAAGAAAAGAAAAAGGCCCAATAAAGGGCTGACGGATCTTTCAGCACTCCTCCTCAAGCTGAGCATATATATTAAGCATGCCCAGCTTGCTTAAACAATGATCCAGCTTCACTTGGTTAACTCCTTTGGTGAAGATATTTGCTATTTGTCCATCTGTACTTGCAATGGGAAGGCATACTTATTCTAAAGTGACCTTCTCTCTATTTTATTTTATTTATTTTTTTGATGAATGAGCGACCTTCTCTCTAATAAAGTGTTTGCCCACCTCAATATGCTTGATTCTATCATGTTAATCCGGATTATGAGCAACACTAGTTGCAGATTGGTTATCACAGTATAGACAAATAGGTCCATCATAAGAAATCCCAATTTTGTTAAGCATGTGTCTCACCCATAACATTTTTTTTTGAATGGTAAAAATAAATTTTATTAAATAAAAACAGATACAGACAATAGGTGACAAGATGGCACCTAGCTTACAAAACAAAACAAACTGTACTAAGGCACAACCCAGAATAAAACTGAAACAAGTTACAGCTATTGAATTTCAAACTCCATACTATCCTTGCTTTCCTACTTCCCCCTATTCTGGCCAGGCAGAGAAAGTTTCTGCTTCTGAGCTTGGCTGAATAACTCTTTGCCCGAATAATGAGGATTGAGGAGTAGTAATTCCACATAACTTTTGCAGTCTTGCAAGTAGAGAATAAATGTAAGGTAGTTTCTTCTTCCGAACAGCACATGACACAGATTTTTGCTAAATAAAACCTCTGCTTTTCAAATGATCAACTGTTAGGATGCTATCCATGGCAACCAACCAAGCAAAAGCTTCCACTCTAGGTGGAATGGGATTCCCCAAGATCCCTCCCTTAAAATCTGAAACCTGCTGATCCTTTAACAGAGCTAAGTAGAAAGATTTCACAGAGAAAACCCCATTCTTACACTCTTTCCACCACAATCCATCCCTTGAAGAAGACACCTCAACTTTCTGTAATAATTCCAGCAGCTGAATACATTCTTCTGTTTCCTGCTCCAGCAGGGGTCTTCTGAATTTGTTACACCATACAATCTTTTCTCCACTCACTTCAAAACATTGATCAACCTTAATCTGGTGCTCAGACAACCTGTAAAGTTTCGGGCACACTTCACAAAGCTTCCCTACTTCACACCACTCACCTTCCCAGAATCTAATCCTTGACCCATCACCCACCTTAAATCTTACTAGATCTTTAAACTCTTGATTGAACAACATTATCCCCTTCCAGACACTCACTCCGTAAGAGTAGGAAACCTCCCTTGGCTCCCATCCAAACCTCACCAGCCCATACTTTTTAGCTACAATCCTCCTCCAAAGATCCTCCCTCTCCCCTTCCAGCCCAAATCTCCATGACAATTTATCCAACAAGGCCTTATTAGAAGTTTTGACCCTTCTAATACCCAACCCACCATAATTTTTTGGCCTACAAATCTTGTACCATTTCACCAAATGAAACTTCCTAGCACCACCTACTCCTTCCCACAAAAAGTCCCTTTGAATCTTCTCAAATTTTCTGTTACCTTTGCTGGAATCTTCAAAAGATATAAATAGTAAATCGACAGGGTTGAAATAACACTTCTAACCAATGTGATTCTTCCCCCCAATGATAGGTATTTGGCTTTCCACCTCTCTAGCGGTCTAGTCTCTTCTCCACTCGTTCTATCATTGGCCTCCAAAGTCCAAACCCCTGCTGCAGTATCTTTAGACCAATAGACCCTACCGGAATCCCAAAGTAAAGAAAAGGTAGTTCCCCGTTTTGGCATTCAAACACTGCAGAAAAATGGTCCAACTCCTCCTTCCTTACTTCCCCCATAACATATTTGAAACACCATGCGTCATGACTTTGTATTCAGCTTCTACACTAGACTAAACAACCATAGACCGCTTCTTGCTCCTCTAAGAGGTGAGATTACCGGCTACAAGAGTACAATAACCAGGTGTTGATCATTGTCCATCAATGGATTCTGCCCAATCTGCATCAATAAACCCTTAAATCTTCATGTGCTCATGACTAGAGAAAAGAATGCCTTTGCCTGGTTGACTTAAAAATATGTGTAATTACTCATATATTAATATTTGGTAACTTAAAAAACGAAAAACATACAACATGCATGTAAACACATATGACAACCTCTATACTTGTTAAGCATGACATTCATGTCAGTGTTTCAATATTTTAATTTTTCTTTCAATTTTATCTATTTCCTCACAAAATATTTTGCACAGCTCTTGTTAGTGCAGTATCTGTAGGGCTTGCAAATCCTAGACTTGGTTGCCTTGCTCACAAATATTCTCTGTCAAAATTCAGCACCTTTGGTATATTCTTCATCTCAGGTAACTTTTTCAAATTATTACTTATTGTATCTGTTGTATTCTTTATACTTGTGTTATTCTTGTACAACATTTTTTTAAAACCTTCCTTATTCTTGTTATAGGGTTGATGTTGCGAAGTGGGGATGTTGGTGCAGCAGTTCAAGCATGGCCTGCAGGGATATTTGGGCTAGTATGACTTCGAATTACTTGTGTGCCTTATGTATGTCATGGGTTCTTCTTCATCTGTTTTCTTTCTTTTCCTTTTAATTGTTTCACACACACACACACACTCACACTCACACACACACCGACACATGTGTATGAATATATGCATTCCTTCTCATAGTAAGTCTTTCATCTCTCTGATACTTCTGTAACTAGATGGGAATGGTGTTTCCAATAATTATTTGGCAGTTTTATGTATGATTGTGAATTTCTTAATGCCAATGGTTGTATTTGTTGTTTCAAGGTGATGAGATGAAAGCATAATCTATGAAGGTGTTTTTACTTGTGCTAATATCATCTATCCCTGTGTAGTTAAGGGGTTTGTTTGTTGATGACAAAAAGCTTTTCTTGTTTAGGGTCTTAAGTACTGATGTTTTTGTTCTAGTGGTAAGGTTGGTTTTCATTTGGTGTGGTGTCTTTGTCCAGTTGTTTGGTCTTGGTGCAGCTGTGCCAAAAAAAGTTGAGGTCAAATGCAATTTTTCGTCCGTGTTCCACACTAAGGATGACAAGAGGTGTCTTCCGCAAGCAATCCATTGCAGATATTCTTTGGTTTTGGGGCTAGGTTTTTGTACTGTTTGATGGCGTATATAATATTCTGGTGGAATACGATGTACAACAACAGTTCTAAGCTCTACTGTGTAGGATGCAAAGTAGGGTGTAAGCCTATTCCCCCAACCCCCTTAGTTGGGGATTTCCCTGTGAGAGAAATCTGGTGTAAGCCTATTCCCCCGAAAGTTCAAGCTCTTTGTTGGGAAATATTCCTTGGAAAGGTAAATACTTGTGATATGTTGCAGAGAAGAAGGCCTTATGCTTGCCTTTCTCCTCATTTGTGCTCTCTATGTAAGGAAAGTGGTGAGGCCCTATCTCATTTATTAATATCCTGTTCTTTTGTGCATCGAATTTGGCAATTCTTTTATATTCTCTTTGGCTGCAAGTGGGTTCCCCCTTAAGATGTGGTAGGACTTTTTTACCGTGAATTCTTAAGACAAGCTAAGAAAAGAGGGATGGTAATGTGAAAAGCTATGAAGGCAGCAATATGCTGGGTGGTGTGGGAAGAAAGGAATAACATGATCTTCTTAGAGAAGAGTAGAACATTAGGGGAAGTGATAGGCAACATCAAGGTGAAAGTAGCTCATTGGGTAAAATCCTTGGACAACTTTCAAGTCTTCTCAATCATGGACATTCTAAAACTTGGACTGAAGTAGCACAGTGAGAGACAAAGTAAGGATGGAGTGGAAACCACCAGAAGGTAATAAAATCAAACTGAATTTTGATAGGAGCTCCCTTGGAAATCGGAGACTCTCAGGTATAGGAGGGGAGTAATCAGAAATTCTGAAAGGAGGATATTGGCTTTATTCTTAGGACCAATTGGCACGGGGAATTCACTAAAGGCTAAACTATTGGCATTACTACAAGGTTTGAAGCTAGCTAAACAGCTGGTATTCAGGCATATTGAGGTGGAAGGGGACTCAAAAGTGGTCATTTCTTGGGCTGCAAACAACAACCTTACCCCTTGGACTTTCAAACATGTGATTAGGGAAGTGGAAAAGATTGCAAAGGAGGTTGAGGCTGAATTCAAATGGGTCAGAAGGAGTACAAATGGGCTAGCTGACTCTCTAGCCAAACAAGGGGCAATGAGACAGCAATTATTTTGGGCTGCACTATAATGAGGGACAGAAAAGTGTGCTTAAATGGGATCAACATTCCCACCACCAAGCCGTATAAACTGTTCCAATCTGAACTTTAAATAAAATACATGTTTACTAATCAAAAAGAAAAGAAAAGCGGAGGTGTGGTGTGAGGTGTTCCACTATCTAGAAGTGTGAGGTATAGTTCAGAACATAAGAGGTGTAAGCCTCCCGAACACAACTTCTCCTTAAGAGGGGGGCGGGTGAGGAGGAAGGGGAGGAAGAAGAATAGGAAGGAGGATCTCATTTTTCTTTATTTTTAATAAAAATCTTTTATATTAAGAAGAATGAAGATGCATAATACTAATTGAAAGGGGGGGGGGGTCTTGTTGGGAGTGACTTTCAGTTGGATAAGTACGACAGCTAACAGCATTGCAGAAGCATTAGAAAGACAAGGGGCTAACATGACTTCTATATTTTGGGGATCCACAGTTGGGGAGCATGGGAACATTGTATCCTGACAAAAGGAGAAAATTGGATGGAGCTGTGAGTTTCAGTGCCCTTGTAAGTTGTAACCATGGGGTGCTTTTGGCACTAAGACTACTGCATATAATCACTATTCTTTATCCATATATCAATACACATTTCAAGTTATCCATCAAGAAAAAGGATCTATTGTCATCTGATTTCTCTTAACTCACTATTATCATGTCCTTGTGTTGTATGCTGTTTATGATTATCATGTCCACTCTGTTTCTTAGTACTTTGTTGTAGCTGGTATAAGTTTTCTTAAACATTTTGCTTACTTATATGTGCAGGGTTTGATTCTGTTATTTACTCCCTTCTTCTCAAGGCTTGTTTTGCAACTTAAGCTGGTTCCTCAAGAATTTGTCACAGGTATGATGGCTGGGTTTAAATTCTATAGTTTTTTTCCCTATCTTAATTAGAGTGAATAGTAGTCTCTTAGAGTTTACTGGTAGATTATGTGAATTATTTACTATGTTCTTAGCTTCCTACAGGATTAGCTATTTTTAGCTGCATGCCAACGACATTGTCAAGTGGTGTTGCATTGACACAGGTATGCTAGTTGCAATTTTCTCTCTCTCAATGGATTCCTCTACATATTTAGCTTTGTGTTTAACAAAGACTGCATTTTGCTTCAATCCAGCTTGTTGGGGGGAACTCTCCTCTTGCTCTTGCAATGACAGTGGTTTCTAATCTGTTGGGCATTTTAATTGTAAGCTATTTGAACTAAAGTTACATTACTTGCAATTCTGAAGCAAATGTGGTATTTTACAGAATATGCAGGTACACTAGATCTTAGGGTTTTTATTTTTTTATTTTTTTTGTATTATGTACAGCAAATTACAGGGGAGTCAGGGGTGGGGACATAGCATGATGCAAGTGAGGCCTACTGGTTATACCACAGAGAGCCTGCAGTTCTGCGGGTTTGATCCTGTGCCTCTTATTTTGGAGGGACACCAAGTGACCATCTAAACTACTTGGTCACTGGCCACTAGATCATAGATTATCTGTGTAATTCTTCTTTTTTCAAAAAACAAATGTATATTTTTACTTAATTGGTAATACATTAGCTGTCTAAAATTATGTATAAGTAAATTTGTATCAATATTGCATGTTGAAAGGTTTAGAAGAGCTAGAGCCAAAAAGGACATAGATTGCAGTTGATAGTAATGTTTCAAGAGTCCATAGTGTAACAATGGATATGGCACTGGACAGAGTGGGATGGTGGTGAACTGGGATTCATGTAGCTTACCAATCTTAGTTGGGACAAGGCTTAGTTGAGTTGAAGTAAATTTGTATTCAGTAAAAATAAGGAAGAATTCTACTTTACCTTGAGATGCTTTGAGCATTAAATCTAAGGAAACTTAATAAAATTTATGCCAATTTTTGTAGGTTTATAATATTCTATCTAATTGTAGATTTCTGCATGAAAAATTTACATGTGAAAAAAAGAAGCTTTAGTAATATTCAGCTCATCAGTGAAATGATTCCATTTGTACTATTTTAACATAATGGTCTATGACCCACAGATGACTTAATTTTGAATTGCTTCAACAAATTGCATAAATTTGGGTGCCTCAATGTACAGATTTTAATTACAGGGTTGGCCATTGCTCATTCGCATGCTAAAACTCAAAAATATTCTAATATAATATGAGAATGGGGTTAGGGGAATGATGCTAACTCTTTAGAAAATGAAGAGTGGGACGACAGGTGTTTAGTTGGCAATTTGGCATTTGGCAAGTCTGAGGAAGAGATTACTTTTCTGATGCTGGTCAGGTGTTTAGTGCCTCTGGTTCAATGAAGTAGTTTGATTCACTTCACTGGATCAACTAATGGCAGTAGTAGTGGATGGTTTGCAGGTAGAGTAGTTGGGAGGGGAGAAGAAGATGGAGGAAGTAGTGGCTATGAGGAGTTGGTGGAAAATTTGAGGGTGCTGCTGAATAATTTTGTGGGAGTGATAGGGCTGAGGATAAATTGGACCAAAAGTGGAATTGTAGGGGTCAATTTGGACGAAGGAGAACTAATAAGATTTGAAGAAATCTTGGGGTGTGAGATCAGAAGCTGGCCTATTAGTTACCTAGGTTTACCCTTGGGAGGAAACCCCAAGTCAGTTGGTTTCTAGAAACCAGTGTTAGAAAGGTTTGATAGGAAGTTAGCCCTTTGGAAGAGGAATTACATTTCGTTGGGTGGAAGAATAACCTTGATTAGAGCCACTATGGCAAACCTCCCCACCTATTTCCTTTCAACTTTTAGAATCCCTTCTAAGGTAGCAAGATGCCTAGAGAAGTATATGAGAGATTTCCTATGGGACCCAGGAGAGGAAGGGAAGGATCACTTGATCAAGTGGAAGCAGGTTAGTAAACCCAAGGAACAAGGGGGTTTGGGAATTGGGAACATCCTTTTAAGGAACACAACTCTACTAGGTAAGTGGCTTTGGAGGTTTCCCTTTGAGGGTGATAGATTGTGGCACAAAGTGATCAAAAGCATTCATGGGGTGGCTGGAAATGGCTGGGATGCAAAAGTTTCCCCTCACAGGTCTTCGGCTTCTCCTTGGAAAGCAATTCATGAAATCTACCCTACTTTCCTCAATTCCATCCGGTTTGATGTGGGACAAGGTAATAGAATTCTGTTTTGGCAAGATCTATGGGTAGGGGAAATCCCACTAAAAGACAAATTCCCTGATCTCTTTGCACTATCTAACCTTAAGGGGAAAGCTATATCCATGTTGGGATCACTGTGTCCAACTGGTGTGAACTGGAATTTAGGCTTTAGAAGGGGACTAAGGGAGAATGAGTGTGAATCCTTAACCCGCTTGCTGAACCTCTTAGAGCAGATCCACCTGGACCCTTTGTTGGAAGACTAAAGAATCTGAGTAGGATCTCCAGGCAGCCTCTTTTCTTGCTCCTCTTTCTTCAAAGTACTTGCTTCCCCCAACCCTCTAGGTGGGATTTTCTGTGTGAAAGAAATCTGGTGCAAGCCTATTCCCCCGAAGATCTAAGCTTTATGTTGGGAAGTATTCCTTGGTAAAGGTAAACACTTGTGATATGCTGCAGAAAAGAAGGCCATATATGTGACTTTCTCCTCATGTGTGTTCACTGTGCAAGGAAAGTGGTGAGACCCTTTCTCATCTAATGATATCCTGTTCTTTTGTGCATTAAATTTGGGATTTCTTTGTATTCTCTTTGGCTGCAAGTGGGCTCCCCCTCAAGATGTGGCAGGACTCTTCAACCATGATTTCTTGAGATAGAGAAAGAAAAGAGGGATGGTAATGTGGAAAGCAACAAAGGCAGCAATTTGTTGGGTAATATGGGAAGAGAGAAACAACATAATTTTCTTGGAAAAAAGTAGAATAGTAGAGGAAGTGATGGATAGTATCAAGGTGAAAGTATCCCATTGGGTAAAACTCTTGGACTGCTTTCAAGTCTTCTCAGTCATAGATATTCTAAGAACATGGTTCGAAGTAGCACAATCTTCGAGAGTAAGAGATAAAGTAAGGCTGGAGTGGAAACCACCAAAAGGCAATAAAGTAAAGCTGAATTTTGATGGGTGCTCATATGGAAATCCAGGCATCTTAGGAATAGGAGTATTAAGAAACTCCGACAGGAGGATATTGGGTATGTTCTCAGGGCCGATTGGCAATGGAAACTCGTTGAAGGCTGAACTATTGGCATTACTACAAGGGTTAAAGCTAGCCAAACAACTAGGATTCCGACATGTTGAAGTGGAAGGGGATTCAAAAGTAGTAATTTCATGGGCAACAAATAGCAGYCACACCCCATGGACGTTTAAACATGTGATTAGGGAAGTGGAGAAGATTGCAAAGGAGGTTGAGGCTGAATTTAAATGGGTTCGAAGAAGTGCAAATGGGCTAGCTGATGGGTTAGCAAAACAAGGGGCATTGAGACAACAATTATTTTGGGCTACACTGTAATGAGGGGTGAATAGAGTAAGGAAAAGGGATCAACAATCCCATCATCAAGTTGTATAAAATGCTTACAATTTGAATTTTAGTAAAATACATATTTACTGATAAAAAAAAAGATGGAGGAAGTAGTGGACGTAAGAAAATCAGGGAAGTTGGAGGAGAGATTGAATGTCCTTCGAGCAAGTTTGGTGGGTAGAGTAGTCGGAGAGAAGTTGAAATAAAGGAGTTTGAGAGTTGGGCAAAATTAGAATGGGGAAGAGAAAAGATTTTGGGAGTGAGGAAACTGCACACAAAGCTACTACTGGTAATGTTTCACACCAGAAAATTTGCTAAACAGGTTGTAGAGGAAGAGAAACTAAAGGAAAGAGACTTCAATCTAAGGCTGTATTGGTGGTCACCGGTGGCTGAAGAGCTAGTAGAAGGCAGACGGAAGTGTGTGAAGTGGATAGGTATAGTGGGGATTCCGCTACATGCACGGTGCATCAACACATTCGAGGAAACCACTGCTTCATGCATAAGGCTCATTTGATTGGATGATAGAAATAGGACATGGGAGAAAATGGACATGGCAAGGATATTAGTTGAAGTAGAAAATATGACTGATGTTCCAAAGAGGATGTGCATGGTTTTTGCAATGAATGGTATGACCTAAGGCTGTTTGTTAAAGGAGTAGATGGCACATATCGTAAAACAGAGAGCAATCAAAGGGTGGAGGCGACATCGGGTGAGAGGAGAAGAGAGGAAGAAGACCGAGGGAAGGAGGAAGGAGTTGGAGAAGTCAAAGAAGTTGAAGAGACGAAGGGAGGAGGAAGAAGACGATGAGCTGGCAGAAATATTAAGAAAGAAGTTATAAGTGGAAGACAAGGATGAGTTAGCAGAATAGGAAAGGGGACACATGGAGGTTGATGGGCTTGGATTAGTAGGAGGAAATAGATTTAAAGGGGGGGGGGGGAATAGAAGGGGAAAGGAAAAGTCACCAGTTGGTAACAGGGAGTCAGGCTCAAAAAGAGATTACTGCTTCAATAGGTTAATGGTAAATTTTAAAAGAGGGGCAAGAGTCAAAAGAACAACGAAGGGGTAATCTTGAAAAAACTACCTCATATTCAAAGAAGACCAGTTTCGGCCGCTCGAGTTCCAAGAAACAAGTTTGCAGAGGTCACAAGAAAGAAGAAAAAGGAAACTGGGTTTGGGTGGTGACCAAATATGGAAATGGATATAAGATTAAGATCTAAGATCCTAGGAGGCAAGGTAGACAAGAGGATAGTGACAAGCTCAGCGGTGGAAGGAAATTTGTAGAGAATTGCCACAGAAGGGAAGACTGTGGATTTAGAGAGAAGTAAAGGAACAACAACCCAGAAAACCGAAGAAGAAAGATCCAACAGGCTGAAAGAAGGGGATTCCAACTCACACTTGGAGATAGAAAGTGTTACGAGATTATAGGTTACGAAATTATAGGCTGTAATTATGGAGTATTAGCCCAATTAGGAATACGGACAGTACAATCAGTCTTACTGTAGTTCACACACTCTAACCTTCGGCCAAAGAAGGCTGAGACAAACTGAAACAAAAAACACACCTGTTCAGCACTTGTACGAAGGTGCTAATCTGAACTTGACTTCACAGCATCGAATAGAGGAGTCGGCACCAGCATCTCTCTTCTCCGACTAGGGTTTTCTTGCTATTACGACCGAGAAAAAGAAATCACAAAGGCTGCCGCCAGAAACTGCTAGGGTTTCCCAAAAAAACTGCCGCCAGAAACTACTAGGGTTTCTGCAGAAATAGCC